CTCCTGCAGAATGAAAATATATAATATGTGTATATGGTTATATAAGATTATCTACATATTTTAGACAAATGTACAAGTTTTAATGGTTTCGTACATAAAATGTTTGATTCGGTCACCTTTACATAAAATACATTAAAAGAATCTCTCATTCATACATATTTCTTAAATATTTAAAATGCAAAATTGATATCCATTTTAATTCGAACAATTTCTGCAGTCCTTCTGTGCATAGAAAAAAGAGACCATTCTATATGTGTTGTTTCCATAGAATAACGTTGGGAAAAAGTCTAATAGATTTCATTTTCCACCTTTTCTATTATTACTTTAAACTACCCATATTTTCCAACCAAATCACTGTTCATTCTCTGCCAATGAATTCAAATTGGCATGGATATTGTGACATTCGATGGAGGTTGTTTTGAAAAATTTGCTACTAACGCCAAATGTATTGTTGTTGTTGTTTGTGGCATTCGACCTTTCGGATGATGCCTTAGCACAGAGCATTCATTCATCGATTCTGTCATGGCGATACCATAAAATACATAAGTGTGCCTGTATGGCCTTTGTTTGGGTCGAGGTGTTCATAAATACTTTCCATGACAGATGGTGGCAACGGGTCTCAGCCATTAAATATTAAGTTATGATGCTACTGTGTTTTTTTGAAATTTGTTGCTACTGCTGGCTAAATAAAAACAACACCAACAACAAAATGAACCATTACGATTATCCTTAAGCGATTTTTCATTAATAAAAACAACATTGTCTGAAATTGGCCCCGACGAGTACAGCTGCCGATAAGAAAGCATATCATCTGCAAATGTTGCCATTGGTCATATTCCTCGTTTAAAAAGTACAAAAACCAAAACACAGTTATTTACATTTACATTATTGTATTTTATACTGGCAGAGAAAAACTTTGCCAATTAACGTCTAAACTAAATTAACAAGACATCGTTTTTATCTAGGCATGACAGAACAATGACGATACAAAATAGAGAACTTTGCTTCATTTAGTTTCATTCTATATCTATGCTAAGAAGATCATAGCTCAAGATGTTGCAACTTTTCAACGCCATTCTGTAAATCCATTGTCTGTTTGTTTATTTTGTTAAAGTATTAATTAAGAATCTTTGGGTGTATGTGTGTGTGTGTTTGTGCGTGTCACGAATGTAAAAGGGGTCCCACAACACACAAGGAGTGTTTTATAAGATGAACCACGACCCATTGTTTGCATTTTAATTAAAAGTTGATTTTTTGCCTCAAGTGTTTCTTGACATTTACCCCCAAGGATAACAACATCATCGTTATGAGGAGGAATGTTCATCACGACATCGTTACTGGTGACAACGGAAATACTCGATGTTAATTTCAATTCCAATTAATCACATATTTTCTTGTTGATAACATATTCCGGACAATTGAATGTGCAATTTTAAATAATTAATGTGATATTTGAATTAATGTAATTACATGTAATTTGAGGAGTCTAAAATTAGACTTTCTAAGGAGTACTTAATTAGTTTTTTTTTTGTATAGATAGGCCACATTTGGGAACAAACATAAACAAATTTACCGACTCTTGACAACGTGTTTAGAACAATATGGCTCAACTGGTTGTTCAGTTCCAAATAGTACACGATGAAATTAAAAACAAAAAATTCACACAAAATCCCTGCAAAATACATATGGATTTGTACATAGATGACTCGATGCTAGGGGTACCGAGATGTATCTATTATTACCGAATATACATCTATTAGTATTTAATAAGGCCAAATTAGGACGGGGGAAATAGAAATCCATCGGAGAAATGGTAGAAGTTGACCGGCATTGGCCAAAAGGACAACGCTAGGCCACACACATCTACAGCGACTCTCCAGAAACTTCGGGAGCTTGGTTGTGAAGTTTTAATGCATCCGCCATACAGTTCGGACCAGGCACAAAGCGATTATCATAGTTTTGTTGCATTGAAAAATGTGTTTAATGATAAAAAATTGGTATCTAGGGAGGATTGTAAAAAACGACTACTAGAGTTTTTTTTTTTTGCAAATATAGAGCAGGACTTCTATGAAAGATTTGATTGAATTTAATTTTCTCCAACCTAATATTAGCAACATGGATTATAGGATTACATTGCCAGCTCGGATCTGTAAGTTTGCGCAAGAGTCCGGCAGATATAAAATATAATATAAAGCAATCTATATAATTATGAGGAGATATAGATTTTATTATGATTTTATTTAAAATACAAATAAAAATTATGTGGAGCCCCAGTAAAAAAAAACTATTAATCAATCAATTTTCTATCTTCGTCAGCATTACTTGCCCCGTATAGTCAATAACAAACAGAAAATGTCTAGACTACCGCTGAGTCCTAATAATGATAATGGCAAGAATAACATTAGCTTTTGATTGGGTGATAATTGATTTGACACCATTTCAGACAATAATTAGCAATATATTTTTGCAAAAAAAAAAGAAATAACAGTTGACAAATTTAATGACTTTAATAAAATTCTCAAGATAAATAAAATTGCGAATTGTAACGACCACCTGTTGATTTTTAATTAGAAAATAATTTTGAATTCAATTAGCTTGACATTTGTCAATGTAACAATAAAAACAAATATTTCAATAAAACAGAAACTAAAAGCGTTTTGTAGTACAGTGATAATGACCACATAAATGTAAAGATGGTCAAAGAGGGCTTTATCCCAAATTGTAATGTGTTTATTATAAAAGATATATCTGAAAATGCTGGCTTAATTTTTGGTTAAAACTCTAGTTCTTATTAATTGACACATAAACACTAGCTTTATATGTATACAATTGAGAAACATTTTTTAATTTTATGGGAATAGAGGTAAATATATATTTTTTAAATACAAAAAGGCGCATTCTATTCATACTATTCTAAAGAATGTTAAACATTTACTGTGTATTATCTAATATAAACATTTAAAGCTTAAGGTAACAAATAAAATTGTCTTTCTTTATTTATTGTCTAAATATAACACTAAACACAATATGACTATCTGGAATATCAAATAATTTTAAACAGCTGCCAAAAATGTTGTATTTCTTTTTGTACTTCCAAAAATTCGTGGCAGCTAACAAACAATTCTATCCATTTGGCATTCAAAAACAAACTTTAGACTATAATTGCGTTCAAATAATATTATTGTCTGCATATTTATGAAAATAGAAACATTCATTTGTTTTGTATTTCTTTACAAATTTTACCCCCCCAGACTGTTGTAAATTCAAGAAATTTCCAAACAATAACTCAAAGTTGGATACAATGTGAATTGCCGATGGCTAGAAAAGAAGAAGAAAATATTTCTAACTTCAAAGTTCTAGCCAAACTTTGGAATGAATACATTTGCATTTACAATAATTCATAAATAAGTGTGCCATAATTTATGCTATAATGAAATTGTTACGATATAATACAAAGAAAAAGATTTTATTTTCAACTTTTGACAGTAGTTAATAATTATATGTATATGAAAGTCAATGGAAAATAATGTTGCAGAACGAACTTTGTATACCCTCCAACGTTCAAAATATGATTTAAAACATCTAAAATTAATGGAGACTATTAGGAGAAATGCCATGTTATGATATAACTTCGAACTTACCGAATTAGAAGAGAGAAAAATATGATTTAAATTTTCAAAATACCAAATATGGGGCTCTATACCAATGCGGGGATCGATTCTCTATCAAAATTATTAATGTTTGGTAGTGAAATTTGACAGCCAATGAGAACCCAAAATACCAAATAACAGTTAATTTGGTTGGCAAACTTGTCCAAAGTCATCAAAATACCGATTTTTTAAATTGAAGGCCATGAGAAAAAAATAATTAAATAATGACTACTCTAAATAAATATTTCTCTTATTTGTAATTAATTTTTTATGATCTAAATTGTGGAGTAGAAATGCGGCTAGAACTTTCAAATTACCTAAAATAGGTTGGCCAAAATACCGACATAGGATAACTCATGCCAAATTATGAACAATTCAGTTGGAGCATGTGGTCAAAACCTCCATAATGCCGAAAATGGAGCGGGATCTATACATTTTTTAAACATGTTTTCCTTTCCCAAAATTTTCAATTTTATTTCAAAACTTCTAAAAACATTTCCACTCTTTTGTGTGAGAATTATATCATCCATTCCGACCATCCCATTAAATAAAATGTAAAGTAAAAAAAGTAAAAGTATGACCAATCTTCAAGTAGCGTTGCGGAATCAATGATGCTCATCAGTTGTAGTCCAAGTACACCTCATTAACGTTCAGGTTAACAGAGAATGAGATTTGTTCACCTTGATATTCATTTGCAACACCAAAGGTCAGAGCAAGTTATGTGCATTAGTTAACATTTATTGGCTTAATTGCATTTCGATACCCTTGGTTCGGAGTAGTTGTTCTCGGTATACCATGTATCGGATGCATAGTGGTAGGTAGTGGTGGTGGTGTTGGTATATCCATTATCCTTTTGTTGGCCAACTTAGCAAAGGCAGCAGCATGCAATCAGCCGTGTACAATGACTAAGCCAGACATGTATGAAATGAGAGTAACAGAAGAAGAAGAAGTAGAAGAAAAAGCAATAACAAAAACAAATGACCGTCAGCCAAACAGCCATTCTGCCAGACTATCATAACATCAACATTTGACTGATTAACGAGCTGTTTTATGTGTTCGGACAGCACAAATGATCAATACGACGGACGGATGAGTTCAGGACACAGATATATGTGTTTGTATTTGTGTGAGTGTGTGGTTGATTGCTTGCTTGCAACAGGGTATATGTGAATGCCTGTCAAGGTTCATGACATTAGTTCGTTTTTATATTCCAGCAAAAGGAGAGGGATCTAATAAAAAAGCAACAACAAAAAGTGTAATTTGGTACAATAAATAAAAAAATGCTCTGCATTTGAATACTGTTGCAATAAATAACATAAACGTGGGTTTCTCACCTCTACTCTTTTTCAGGTTATTACCCCCACTCGTTCATTAGTATTGTGTGCTGAATCCAGACGCGAAATGGAGGATTGGTTAGGCTCACTGAAATCGGCTTCCATACCACCTCGCTCACGTGGCGACAGCTTTTTCATTGAACAGCACGACATCTTTGCCAATCACCATCACTGGTATGCCACGTCACACGCACGACCCACTTACTGCAATGTCTGCCGTGATGCTTTGTCTGGAGTCACGTCGCACGGGCTGTCGTGTGAGGTCTGCAAATGTAAGGTGCACAAGCGTTGTGCCGCCAAAGCCATTGCCAACTGCAAATGGACCACCCTGGCCACGGTGGGTAAGGATATTATAGAAGACCAAAATGGCAGCATTGTTATGCCACATCAATGGATGGAGGGCAACTTGCCGGTATCGGCCACCTGTGCCGTTTGCAAGAAAACCTGTGGTTCAGTGTTGCGGCTGCAGGATTGGCGTTGCTTGTGGTGTAGAACTACGGTGCATGTAGCATGCCGACCACATGTTGCCATTGCGTGCCCTTTGGGTCCGGCCAAATTATCGGTGGTACCTCCAACATGTGTACATTCCATTGGTAACGACGATTCATGGGATGTTGCCAGTCCCAAGGGAAACTTTTCCCCACTGTTGGTATTTGTTAACTCGAAGTCGGGAGATAATCAAGGAGTGAAATTTTTGAGAAGATTTAAACAGCTTTTAAATCCAGCTCAAGTATTCGATTTAATATCAACAGGACCAGGACTGGGATTAAGGCTGTTCCGACATTTTGAAATGTTTCGTATATTGGTGTGCTCGGGAGATGGATCGGTTGGATGGGTACTAAGTGAAATCGATCGTTTCAATATGCATGTAAGTGTGTTAGTATTAGCAAACCTCAATTTAGATCACTAAATTATTATTGTTTTTCTCTTTTTGAACCCAAGAAACAATGTCAAGTTGCTGTATTGCCACTTGGCACGGGCAATGATTTAGCTCGTGTCCTAGGCTGGGGTTCATCGTGTGATGACGATGCCCATTTGCCCCAGATATTGGAACGGTATGAAACCGCCAGTACCAAAATGTTGGATCGTTGGAGTATTATGGTCTTTGAAAAGGCCATTTCCGTTCAACCGAAAATGCCTAAGATGTCTTTGTCCTCCGAACAGGAAGCCCTGCTGACGGGCATGATTACATCGGCAAATGAAAATCTTCGTTCTATTGTGGAGACAGATGATTTGCCCACATTGATGTCGGCTACGAAAACTCTCTGTGAAACGATTGATGACCTCTTGGAACGTATGTGTGAAAATCACAAGGAAGATGATCAGCTGACCGTGAAATGTGACATACTGAGGCAGAAGGTTAATATGCTGTTGGATGCCTTAAAGGAGGAGGAAAATGGCTCACACAATGGCGATGAATTCTTATCGACAATTAATAATATTATAGCCAAATCAGCACCCAACTCACCCATACTATCAACATCTTCGTCTAATTTATTGTAAGTAGTTGCTGTAGTGAACCCAGTTAATTTTTGGGTTCGAAACTTTATTGATGATAGATAAAATAATAGTAAACCAAAATAATAATATACAATACATTACGAAAATTCTAATAATCTGCAGAAATCTCCGATGTTCTAAAAAATATTTTCAAACTGCAGTTTCGAATCGAAAAATAAGTTACCTTTTGTTTTATATACACAGCTATTTCATAAATTCAATTGTATTTCCAGAAATCCTAACATATCAATTGAAAAGAATGAAAAGGATCAATTAAATTTAAAGGAACGACGCAACAGTCGATCCCTACGCGGCACAGAACGTGAGGCATTACAAAGTCGTGCCAACAGCGTTAAACGAGCCATGTACAATGTAGTCGAACACTCAGAACCGGGACGACCAAAGCGTTATCAGCGCCGTTTATCGGTGACACCTTTCGAAGCTTTGAAAATACCAACCACCACCTCCAGTGATTCAACACCCTGCACTTCACCCTTACCCATTATACCACCCATCAATGTAATATCACCCACCATGGAATCGTCACGTCTCACTTGCATATCACCATTACCGGATACTAGGCGTGAGTCCATGGATGAGCATTTCTTCAACACGATTAGTTTGCCAGTGCCACGGCAATTCGCCGACAGTCGTCGCAGTTCTGGTGTACCAGAAGTCATAGAGGAACAAGAAGAGAATACCAATGGAGAGATAACGTATCGTAGGACCCGACTTTCTTTGAGTGGAGGCGCCAATATTGACGATGCTGGTAATCGTCTGTCGCCTGGCAGCGAAGGTGCTTCTACTCCCGGCGAGAGAAATTTCCTAACGGTGCCAATTTTAACCAGCGAACATATGGTAGACCCCCTGTCCGAATTTCGACCAATTGAGGTATTCGAACGAAACTATTATATGAGCAAACAGCTGCACCAGGATAAGGAAACTGAGCGGCCAAGTGATAAGGTAGCCGGCGAGGCCCTGGTGCACACATGCGATCTCCAGGTACCCAGCATTGTAGTAACGCAAAAAGATCCTTGTAATGTCTATACAAGCGATAACATAACAATAATCGATACAGATGGGAATACCGTATGTTTCCCAGACATCTCTGAAGATATTTTATTTGATTTTATATTCTTCCCTTTTCTCTATCGCCCTCTCTCTCTATTTCTGTCTTTTCTCCTCGTGTCATTAGGAGCAATCATCGGAAGAGGAATTCCAAGGTGAACCCAGTGACGTTTTATCGGCAATTAGCAACGAGGAGTGCAGTGTGGCCTCGGAGATATTCGATGGAAAAGAGCCACAAATACCAGGTTATCAATTGGGAGATATTTTACAGGTAAGCGATTTCCATTTCCCTTTGAAGCCCAGACATAACTATGCTCTACATAGAATCTCGATTCGAATGAGTTTACCCACATCGATTCACCCGAAACAAGTGATGAAACCGAGAACATTCCTGGTGAAAGTCTTATGGATGATATCAGTTCGGTATTGGGCCACGACATAACCTATGCCCTGCAGGATAACACCATAACGGATGACACCACCTTAATGTGCTCGGAGAGGTCGATGATACCACCACCAAAACCGGCAAGAGCCAAACAGGTTGCCAACAGCAATAAAGTTAATCCTTCACCACCCCGAATACCGAGTCTAGCACGCATGGATAGCGATGACAATCCCCAACAATTCGGCTTTGAGAATATTGTTTTTGAAATTGACAATCGTTGTGACGATCAAAAGATCCGAGAACCGCCACGTTACTGCTCTCTGGCACAATTTGTTGAAGGCAGTGACATTGCAAGGCAAAGTTTTAAGGTAAGCGGTAGTTTAATGGTGCGGGCCTTTGTAAAATTAATGGTTGTGAGTCATTCAATGGGAATTTGGACAGTATTAATAGCAATTATAACTGTTTCTTAGGAGGGCTTCTTCCAAGAAAATTGTGGTAACGCTGTTCTTTAAGACGATTTTAAACAAATCACGTAATAAAAACAAACTGCATTATTGCTTCTCTGTACACGTTGTGTATGACAATTACTTAACTTTTGAAGGGGGACAGCCCGTATTGATACAAATCTACCCCTACAACAATTAAAATTTCGCTTTCGTTCTTGGCTTTGCCACAATTTACAAACCCAATCAATGTCCCTCCAGATTCTTCACATTGTAATAATTAGATTCGAATGAACTATCATTGGCAAAAATCACTTTGACACCCGTTCAAATTCATAACTAATTTCGTTGTAAATTTTCTCTGTCCATTTGTCCATCGAGAAATGACTCCTACGACAGCTGTTTGTTACGATTTGCGTAATTTATATTTATTTCTTGTATCATTTCTTTCGTTGAATTTAATTTTCCTGTACATCGTTTTGCAATTCAAAAAATAAAGCGACCTAAAAAACGTTCTTCCCTTAAACAAACCAATAAAAACAACACTTCGAAACTTGTATCCCAACAGCAGTTATCCTTAGATGAAGCCAACATCGTGTCAACGGCTGCGGCTAACAACGGTGTCAATACCCTGACTACGACCAGCGGCCATCAGCAGTCCGAAGATGATTTGTCTACGGCCACGGCCATAAGAATTGAAGTGAGCGACACGACCACCGTCACCAGTACCTCCTGTCTGAAGACTTCCCCCAAGAAATCCATACCAGGACAAGATGTAAAGCGCATAACTTTTGATGACTCCTGTAAAAAAGAATCATTTGATGATGTTACTCCTCATCACCCACAGATAAGTGTTGTTGTCCGGCCACCCACCCCCCTGAGAGGCGATGCCATACGGCCCCTGAATCCGGATGCGTGTAGCAGTTTGTTGGCCCTACGTCTGCCCTCTGAAATACGAAGGCATTCGAGCCATGCTACATCGTTGACGGTGCGTGAATTTGACAAGGACAAGGATCGACGTCATTCTGGCTTCAATCCCAACTATTTGAGCTTGGATCCGGAACACAACCGTTTTCTCAACTCCTCGCCAGCCGCCAGTCGTAGGATAAGCTGTGGCAGTCTATTCAAGGTAAGTTTTAATTTGAGATTGCCCTCTGTTCTGGTCTGGTCGTCGTGGTTGCTCTCCCATCACTATGCACATAAATACATAAAGGTGCACGGTTTTGGGTTGGGTCTTGGACTTAGTTGAGGGATTCTTTTGAACTCACCTGAACTATAGTCAGCCCCCTCCCAAAAAAGGGACGACTAAGTATTTCAGTAAATACATGGGCCAACACTTAACCAAACACACACCAACTAAGTAAACTAAGAGAGATGGCCTCTTCCTATTGCCCCCTTAGCGGGGGATTCACTGTATGTACGCCAAAGTTTAAACCAACCAATATTTTGAAAATCGCTTTTGACTTGCTTTGATTTGATTTAGCAGAAATAACAATTAACACAATTGGTATGTATTTCAAAATTGTTTGCTTTTTTAACAAAACAAAAAATATTTAAAATGGTTAATTTGTAAATATCAACATCAATACTCTTTCTCGAATATAATAATAATAGGCTTTTGCCCGGAGGAGATTCGTAGACAAATTTCACTGACCCAACTCAGTGTTGGGACAATGATATTTGTTTATGCGAACAGCTTCTTTGGCAAATCGATGTTTTCCTTTCCTATACACGCTCGCGCACACGCACACACCATCTACTATACACTACGACACGAAAATGCACACTCTCACATACCATCAACTACTCTCGTGTGGCTCTTGACTGTCCGATATGTAGAAGAAAAAATCGAAGGGTATTTTGTCGGAACGAGTTTATGGCTTGCTGGGCTTAAGACTTTTTGTTGTGGCCGAACCCGATATACGACTGGCCACACTGGCCCTGATCAGACCGTTAATACAATTGGTAAGAAAATTCTATGTGCCAGCTGCAACAATAACCACATCCACATGATGTCCCCATCCAGATCTAAGATTAACCGACAAAAGAGTCCTTTGAATCCACACATCCGCCACCATTTACAACCTCCATCACCAACAAGAACCAACCACTCTGCCTCTCTCATTACCACCACTGCCACTCTTTACCCAGGTTTGATTTATCAACGCAACAAAGCAACAAATTATTATCCTGGCTTTTTGTAGCAAATTAATCTATCTGCAACTCTGCTCTATAGCTGCTATCGTTTGTGATTTCCTCCTCAACTTGTTCTCTATACTCAAAAATTCTATAATCTACCGATCTGTACATACTAACTCATGTTATACTCGTATCCTGCCAAATCTCAAGTAGTTAGTCACAGTTCCTTGTCTAGCGTCTAGAATTTGTTGCGACAAGTAAGGCAAGCTAATCGCATTCTTGTTGTTGTGGTTTTTTTAGCCCAATGAAGCCTTGCCGAATCTGCAGAATCTTAAGGGTTCCAAGACAAGCTTATTTACCGGGTCCAGCATATTTGGATTTGATCACTTTGGCACTACACCCGAGAAAGAGGAGAAAGACAAAAAAGAAAAGGACAAGACGACCCCAGTGGAAGAAAATCGCAAACTGCCGATTATTAATCCGATTGTGAAGCTACCGAATTGGCCAAGTGAGTTCTACATATTCAATTGGTGTTTGGTAATAAAATGAACTCATGTTTGTATTTGTCTCGTATAGATCTCACTGGAGGAGGTTCTGGATTTATTTCGAAATGTCTTTTGGCCAATGCTGATACTTTGTGTGCAGCAGTCAGTCCTCTAATGGATCCAGATGAGACTCTGTTGGCTGGCTATCATGAAAAATGTGTCATGAACAACTACTTTGGTATCGGCATTGATGCTAAAATCTCTCTGGACTTCCACAATAAGAGGGAAGAGCACCCGGAAAAATGTCGTTCCAGGGCCAAAAATTACATGTGGTATGGTGTGTTGGGTTCCAAGCAGTTATTGCAGAAAACTTGTAAGAATCTAGAACAACGTGTACAATTGGAATGCGACGGTCAAAGGATACCGCTGCCCTCTCTGCAGGGTATTGTCATTTTGAATATACCAAGGTGAGTAGACTATAAAGATCAGGTAAAGTGATTTCAAATTTAAAAATTTTGTATAGAAAATAATTGGGAATTTTATATGTTTATACCCTACACAACTATGTTGTCAGGGTATTATAGCTTTGTGCAGCCCCAAATGTTTGTAACGCCGCGAAATATTGGTCCTAGACCCACCTTTAAGTATACCGATCGTCATATCTCGACTAGCTGAGTCGATCTAGACATGTGTGTCCGTCCGTCCGTCCGTCCGTCTGTCCATTATAATTTGTAAACACGATACAGGCCACAGTTATGGACCAATCTTCACGAAATTTTGCATGTAGGATGGGTTCTGGCCAATGAAGACCCCTATTGTTTTTGGAAAAGATCGGTTAATATTTAGGGGATGAAATGGACCAAAAACATTATTTTTGTCGGTTTTTCTGGTCGCTCCAGAGGCCGCAATTATGGTCCGAACATCGTGAATTTTTGCATGGAGAAGGGGATCGGGCCAGAGAATAAACATGCATGTTTTGATAAAGATCGGTCAATATTTAGCGGGTCAAATGGACCCTGACTTTTGTGTGAAAAATGACAAAATTTGTATTCTATGGCATATATATTTACTCCTGGAGGACGTAGACCCCAGGAGTTGATAGCATATCCAAGAGGAGTGGTTGCCCTTTAAATTGATACCAAATATAGTGATGTATCTACTCAGATGTGGGAGTTACAGTCAAATATTTACAGGTGCTTACGTATTCAGATATTATTTAGTAACCCATTACCACATTAGAGGGGGAAATATCGCGCTGATGGCTTTGAAATTGTTCATGAAGTTCCAGTTATGGTCAAGAACAACGCCTACAATTTTCGGCGATGATCAGATTAAAATTTTGGGATGAAATGGACCAAAAACATAATTTTTGTGTGTTTTCGAGTCGAGTATAATCCGAAAATCACAACACAACCCACCGTGAAGGTAATCTGGACAAGTAATTAGAAGGACTGTACTGAATATTCGAAAAAAGTAAGGAAGAGGTGTTGTTGACCTCTAATCGGACATGAGGGTGCAAATATCACGAAATACTACTCAGACTCGGAATAAACATCCTCAGAAAGTTAGAGTTCGTGGTAGTTGTGTAGGGTATCGTATGGTCGGCCCCGTCCGACTATACTGCTCCGCTCACTGGTTTCATATTTAAAATTTACAATGGTTGTGTAAGAGAACGAGAATTAGATATGTGTGAAAATGAAAGGAATATACATCGTTTATTAAACCAAATTTGGGCCATAACGGCCCTTTTTTACGCTAGCTAAGGCGCATCTGTGGGATATGAAATAAGCTCTCACATCAGTTTCAATTTAGGTCAATTATATGATACTCCTACACCTAGATAGTTTGAAACGTGTATCAAAATGTACCAGTCAATAATCCGATCCGGACAAACAAAATACCACATTCAATTCTTTTCTCACTTTTTTTAATTCTTCAATTTATTAAAGGCTTTGTTATTGTCTCAAGAAGTTTCTCTATGTAATATATAGATATAATATAATAGTTTGTTTCAGTTCCGAAACAATCTCTTCTCTTATTTTTTAAATATAGAAATTTAAAAATGTGTTCATTTTCTATTTTAGCTTTATGGGTGGTACCAATTTCTGGGGCAACTCGAAAAAAGATGATATCTTCTTGGCTCCCAGTTTTGATGATCGCATCCTGGAAGTTGTTGCCGTCTTTGGTTCCGTTCAAATGGCGGCTTCACGTCTTATCAACCTACAACATCACCGCATTGCCCAGTGTCAAAGTGTACAAATCAATATTTTGGGTGACGAGGAAATACCCATTCAAGTCGATGGTGAAGCTTGGTTGCAACCTCCCGGCATGATACGAATTTTGCACAAAAATCGCGTGCAAATGCTATGCCGCAATCGGAACTTGGAAGCCTCGCTTAAAACATGGCAAGAAAAACAACGACAACATAGCATTTCCATACAACGGGATCATTCATCTACGGCCTCGGAACATGCCACCTCCACGGATGAAGTCATTTCGGAACGTGAATGCTATGTACTGCTTAACTTTATTGAGGCTGTCAGTTCGCTTATCAAATGGGTGAAATTCTTGATAATATCTCATCCCACATTGAGGCATGATTTATATTCGGTGGCCTGTCGTGCTCAAGATGCATTAGAAAGTATACATCCTCAAGGCAAGTTGTTGGAGGGTCCATCATTGCGCACCAAACTGGTTGAGGTGATTGATTCGTCGCGCCAGCTTTACGATGATGCTTGTAATTTACTGCGAGATCGTGGCCATAGTTTGATTTTGAGGGAGGATCTTGAAAGTAAGCTGAGTGCTGCATTGGCCAATATGGAAATGGAATTGAAGAAGTGTTCGGTGCAAAAATGTGTAGATGGCAAGTTAAGAGCCTATTTCAATGTGCTGGCGCCCAATGAGGAGGTAATGTTTGAAATATTTTTGGAAAATATAATACCTTAACAACTATTTGTCCCGTTTTCAGGGCGATGGACGTCGTAAATCACGAGCCTTTTGGACCCGTCTTCGTTCTGGCTCCACAGCCGGTCAAAACCAGTTCAAGGCACCTTTGACAAATACTCGTGAAGCTGTCAGCAATTGGAGTGTCAATGAGGTGGTTACATGGTTGGAGACCATGCAACTATCCGAATACGTTGACAGTTTCCTACGCAACGACATACGTGGCAAAGAATTGCTCACACTTGGCCGTAGAGATCTTAAAGATTTGGGCGTCATTAAAGTGGGTCATGTTAAACGTATATTGCAGGCCATCAAGGATATGAACGAGAATTAAAAAAAAAACAACTATTTTGCCGTATATAAGAAATTATGAAATGATGTTGATGTGATTTCACAAAATTGTATTAATTGCTTAAAACAATCATAGATCTATTCTAAACCAAAACAAAAGAAAAAAAACAACTGAAAAATCTACAACTAAACACTTTATACACACACACATTTATATAACGATGTACGAGCATAAACGAAAGTCTAGCAAAGCTAATCGATAAAGATTGAGATGTGTCAACGGAAATTCAACCAAAACCCTATACAATTTGATTTAACTTAGCCAATACAAAGAAGAGTTACATGCTTTCACTGACTGAATTTTGAATATTTTTACTGTGTATGTTTTTTTTTTTTTGAAATATATTTTATTTAGATTGATTTCAGAATTGTTTGGCATTTTAATGCAACTCCAAACTTGGATTCCTGAATCTGTTTTTACGTCTCGAACGTAATCATTTTTTTTTATATTTGGCGCTTTTCATGATTTAAGATTGTATAAACTCTGTATAAACTACTTATCGATTCCAAAATCAAATATTCAATTTGAAACATAACGTTACTTAATTTTCAAATAGTTTATATCTATTATCATTTAAAAACATATCATTTTTTGTTTTTCATATTATGTTTCTATCTAATTTTGATACCTTTTACCCAAATTTACATTGACATTATTTAATTCATATCTAAACATGTGACTCTTCACAAATTGTGCAATTTTAAATTTGCTAACGAATATATTTTAAGCTAAATCAAATATTTTCATAAAAAAAATAAACTTCCTCCCATAAAAATTATTAAAACGCAAACACACATTATTTTTAAGATTTTTTCACAAATCCTTTAAATGTAATTTAATTAAAAACATGATAATTAATATTAAGTTTGCGATTTGTTTTTAATAACAGATAAAAAACGAGTATATAGTTATATTTAAAATGAAATAAATTACGAATTTAATTTCACTTAAAATAAAATTTCTTTCAAAATACAACAACAACAAAAACAAACAAACAGTTCCCGCAGAAAACAAATTAAAATTAAAAAAACAAAAACTATTCTTAATATTATTATTAACTAAAAATATAATTAAAAGAACATTAAACCAACAGATGCATTCTAAATTTTAAAAGCAATTCAATTCAAAATTTGAAGAAAATAATAATTATTTATGTACACTAACTTTGTATTTATAAAAATAAAATAAAAACAAATTCTAAGTTTAAGTCCAAAAAATAATATTAATAACACTCACTCACACACACACACACACAAACGAATATGAATGACTGTTTAGACAAAAAGAAAATAAGCCCATGACATCACTGACACATATACACTCACAAATGGAAATTTATACATGCATACATACAGTATAACGAATATATTGATATAATTTTAAGTATTTTTCCTTTAAGAAAAAGAAGAAAAAAAATTATAGTTATTATAAACAAATTAACGACACTAACACAAAAACAAATATCTAAAAACTTCAATCTCAATAACTTACACTACTACATTGAAAATGTTTTGTAGCAAAAGAGAATCTTGTGTATTTATATTGTTAATACATGGATTCAAAAGTTCAGGACCAAAACAAATAACACACGTTTCGAATTGGTGATTTAAAACGATTTAAAAATAACGAACTTATTCCTGTGAGAAATAGTTCCACTTTTTCGGAGCACCTTTCATATTATTCAAGCAAAATATCTAGGCTGTAAGCAATGACAATACAGTGGAACCAAATAAGTCTTACCTTAAAATAGTCGCTACATATGAATATCAAAATCTTATTCGAGAATTAAAATTTCCGAAGCATCAATTGAAAAATAATGAATGAAATAGTAGACACACAGTCTTTCAGTGACAATCAAGTTTCTTAAACGAATTATAATTCATAGAGGAAAATAATTTCAGATTTTTATTAGAAATCTTTGATTAAACTCCCGATAGCCTGATTTCAAATCCACAGTCTTTTTTAAGTGGAAAAAGTGATCTATATAATAATTTTAGACGTTTTCTATTGTAAAAGTAGAAGTTGTGCGACAGCTAACAAAATAGTCGGGCGAAGTTTAGTACTCCCTGACAATGTATTTTAATGACAAATGCTCCTTGTCTAATGGTCCTGGAACTTTTCATTTCATGTCTTAAGAATAGAGCCCAGTTAAATACACGATGTTCCCTTTTCAAACTCACACACACTCACACCATCATACCTATATACATACGTACATATAATCTTATATTCTACATATATATGTATTTGTACATTGACACACATAAAACCCTAAAAGTCTTGAAAAAAAATTCGAAATACGCTTAACAAAAACGAAACTTTTTTCGTGAGTCATATTTTTTAATTTACACTTATTTTTCCCCTTTTTATTAAAACTTTTTTCGTAAACGTATATTAAATAAACAAAAAAAAAACAAACCTATTTAGAACAAAAACGAAAACATAAATTTATATATTAAAAATTAAACCATTAAATCTTTTTTAGATATTATATGTATTAAAGTAAATTTAAACTTAAAAGCAATTTAAACCAAAACCCAAATATAAACATTTCCCATAACTTATAAAGACAAAACAAAAACAACAAAAGAAATCCCCTAACTGTCTCATATCCAAATACTGAACCCATTCTCAAAAATTAAATCCATGGACTTGCTCTATAAACATAAAAACTGTGATATAAAAGCAGTCCCCCTAAAAATGATTACCCTCCCATTGCCCAAACCCCCTTTACTCCTTCTTTCCAAAATTTAAAACTGCCCATATTTTGTTTTTCGAATATTAAACAATACCCCCAAAAAAATTAAAAGCAAACCAATCTTAAACATCTAAATAACTAAATCCTTAAAATAAATATTAAACTACAATACTAGTATACCTACCCACACACATGCATGCATATGCAATACTCAAAAGACAGTATAAGAGAACGAAAAAAAGAAATGAGCAAGCTCATTTTTAAATTTCTCTTATATCATAAAAAAACTTGGTTGTTGTTCTTTTTTATTCGTTTTCTCATTTTTATTATAAAACTTGTTGTGTACAATGAAAATATCCTTGATATACAAAACAAAAACAAAAAATATTAATATTATTTTTTTGATGGCAACAACAAAACAAAATATCTTTACAATGATCCTTTAACATGAAATAAAATTTAATATTTTTTGTTTATTTCTTTAAAATCTTTACAAAAAGCCCAAAAACCAAAGTAATGTTTTGTTTTATTTCTATAACGTATGGTAGAAATAGGTAAGTTATGATGAACACTATGATTTGAATTTCCCAGGAAAGCATAATTACTGTTGGAAAATGCTACTTAGACCATAAAACCCGTATTGACAAGATATAGCCACTTCTGGTGGAAAATGCGACTAAACCTTAATAGTATGAACCCTTCCTTGCGCTCTTTGGTCCAAAGAACGAAAACGTGAATTCGGAGCGTAATTGTCATATGATTGACTTGGAGAATTTGTGGTTTCAACAAGGCGATGCCACACAACTCGATGTTGAATAATTTCCCTCCTGGTCTGCAATAACTCTCGAAAAGATTTATAATATTAATATTATACTAGCATATGATATAAATACGAAAAAATTTATAGCAAATATAAATTAGGAATACAATTTTCATAAACCCGCCGTCAACGCCATGTATTGACGAGCCTTTGAACAGATATGGTGTAATATGAAAGAGTAAATAAAAATCCATTTAATTTTTTTCAAAAGTTTTGAAGAATTAAAATACGGATTATTTTCTATAAACTTGGCAGCACTAGCAACCATTTGTTGTCAGCGCCATCTATTGAATGGGTAGATTCAAAAACCCCGTAAGGAAATTTCAAAAGTCGGACGGGGTCGACTATATAGCACCCTTCACCACTTTGGGTACAAGAGATGTTAATATCTACGATATCCTGCAGATTGAACATACATATAATCTTTGGAGGACCATTCAGATGGAATCGGGCAAAATTAAATGTGCTATCTAGATAGACAAATATTTGGATTTTGGTGTATCATTCTCAAAAAAATCGGACGAAACTATATATGGGAGCTATATCTAAATCTGAACCGATTTTAACAAAACTTCGCAGACATTAGTCTGGACCTAATTCAGTACTCTGTTCAAAATTTTTAATCAATCGGACAAATATTGGACAAAACTATATATGGGAGCTAAATCTAAATCTGAACCGATTTTTACAAAACATCGCATACATCAATCTGGACCTAATTCAGTACTCTCTTCAAAATTTTTTATCAATCGGACAAATATTTCTGAGTTTAGTGTATCATTCACAAAAAAAAAATCAGACGAAACTATATATGGGAGCTATATCTAAACCTGATCGACTCAGAAAGCGATTCTATGTATATTAGCTAAAGGAAACATGTGTATATCTTTTATCATTTTGCCAGTTATAAACATATGTACAAAGACATAATACCCTGTGCCACAGTGTGGTGAAGGGTATAATGACTATGTAAAATGTAAACCTAATTTCTTTTTTCCTATAACTTTTGACCTAGTGTATATATTTAAATAAAATTGGTGTCATATGAAAGGTACAAGGACCATTAATTTTTAATTATTGAATATGAAAAGTAGTATTATTTTTACCCTCGGTAACATTTGTGTTAAAGGAATTATTTTTTGGTCATAGTAAAGCAGATTTTTTACTCTTTCATATAGCACACTTTTTGTTGAAATACGATAATATGTTCAAAAGTTGTACGCTTGAAGTTTGTACTTAAAAACTTGATTTCCATGATTTCAATCATGCCTCTCAACTGATGGCGCTAACGATGGGCTTAAACAAATTGCAAACCTAATTTATTTTTGCTATAACTTTTTTGCTGGTATTGAAATGAATTCTAAGCACTATGATATGGGACATCCTTCTCTTCGCACCTAATGTATTCTCCATATGTAGACACCGTCTAAAATATCTATAAATGGGAACGAAATCTTCTTAAAA